GCATCTATTTTTAACTTTTAATTTCTTGAGGAACCTCCACACTGATTTCCATAATGGCTGCATTGGTTTGTACTTCCGTATGATGCAACTATGCTGCCCTTGGGCACATACCCAGAGCATCCCATATCCTACCATAGAGACACTAGCACATCCATGTTTATGGCTGCTCTAGCATAGATGGACGAGCACAAACTGCAAGCTCTCTGAACAGGCTAGGTTGATACAGAAGACGAGGGTGCTGTGCTGATTAGAAGGGACATGTTTATTATGATAAATCATATTAGAACCGGATGGTGCTCGCCTTTAATCCCAGAACTTGGGAGGCAGAGGCAGGCCGCCCTTTGTGAGTTTGAGGACAGCTTGTTCTATAGAGCTAGTACCATGACAGCCAGGGCTACACAAAGAAACCCAGTCTTGAAAAATCCATAAATCAATCAATTAATCAATCAGTCATGCTAGAAATAACTGGGCACACTTACTGGTAAAGGATCTCCTCAGCCAGTAGAATGCTGTAATTCTCTAATCTCCAAAACCATAATATAAAAATAATATTTTTGACACAGAAAGTTATTTTTTTAATACTGTGTATTTTATAGGAATCTTGGTCATTTGAAAACATTGATTTGTAAATATAATTTGGTCAAATCTGTGCATTGCTAGCAAAAGATGGTAGCAAAAATATATCAGTGCAACTCTCATAACTTGTTTACAGTCAGATTGGTTCCCCTAAGCCCTTAAATCTACAGATACACATGCCTTTGCAAAAGCAACCTGGTGCCTGGGCAAGAAATGATAGGGCATACATAGGTCATAATGCCAAGCTGTCATGTATACAGAAGCTCTTGTAGCTCTTGAAACAGAAGCTCTTGTAGCTCTTGAGAAAGTTGAAAGAATGCATTCTTCCAACATCTAAATGGTTCTACAAATAAAGATAGAGATGATTATTACAATTATCTGTGAGAAATTATAAAAGCACAGGTACAATAAATCAGTCATTTGTTAAAAACATCTTCTGTTCACCCTCTAGATATCTACTTGTCTATCCCCTATTATCCCTCCCCCTCTCCCTTTGCTCCTTCAAGCTCTGCACAAAGCAGACCACCAGTTGCAGGAGCTGTAGACAAAAAACATATTTTTCCACACTCACAGGTCTCTAAGGATGAATTCTAAAGGGTGCATAAGGCTAATGTGTTATCACAGATGCTCTGGGAGTGAAAACTGTTTTGCTTCATTCCTTTCTCATTGGGATCAACATTACCTTTATCAAAGGATAGACTGGGAGATAAGGTCTGCTAAGAAAAAGGTCATCCTTTGCATCAGACAGTCTTGTAACAGGCACTGTCTAAGATAGTACCTTCCAAGAGAAATACAGTGTGAACAGAGCCATATGCATAATTATGTAGTTTCTAGAAGAGATACTAAAACAAGGAAGCAAATCAAGTGTCATCTTAATATATGGTCTTTTTACCAAGTATTATTACTTAGCACATATCTGTAAAATTATCCATGAGATAGTACATATTTCTACATGCCCCAAGTCTTCAAATTTTAGAGTAATAGATCTTTGCATTTATAATAAATACATTGCAGCTGGACAAGTCACACTTAAGGCATTTGGTAGCTACTTGTGGCCCGTTTGTTTCCATATTGAACAACAAATCTTCTCAGGAAACATTACTCCCCTATGTATAGTTTGGTTTGATATTATTTTTCAATTAAAGATTTTCAAGCACATGCCGGGAAAGGTCTTCCCATTCAGTTTTCTGAGGTCAGAGATCTTCCTGGATAGATCTGTTAAAACACTTACAAACACCCATCATGTTTGGGGTTTGGTGCTACACACAGTTGGAGCAATTTCCTGTTGAGTCATGATCACCCACCCTAGGTTTAAAAGCTGTCTAGGTCAGTCACTGTGTACCCTTCTGTAGTAACCACACTTTCATGTCCCTTACCCTCCTCATCTACAATGTATAGGGAATCATTCATGAATGATAGGTTACTCAATTTTCAAAAAATGCTGAACCCATCACCTCTCACAAAGCAAGTCCTATTCAGGTATTTGATAAGAATTACTTTTGAAAAAAATCTTAAAATTTAAAAAAAAATTAATTTTTACTTTCTCATGTGGTCAGTAAATTATTTTTTGGGAGAAAAAACTTTTGAATGGAAAACTGTATAGTTTTGAATCAGACAAAAAATCAGAAAACCCAGGGGCTGTGGACCATTTGGAAATAACAGCCTATCTATGGTTTGATTTTTTTGATTAATGGAAAACGTTTTTCAATGTCTAAGTTTTTAAAAGCAGTTGTGAAAATAAAGCTCATGGGAGACTCCTGGTTGGTGACAAGGACTCCACACAGCCACGCCGTTCTTACTGTCACCCAGTCAGTCAATGGGCACTGGGCACAGCTATGAAGAATGCATGGCTTCGCTGCACTCACATTGGGAGTCACGAGTCTTCTTTCATTCCCGGTACACAGAAACAAAGAACATTTGCTTTCATTACTGTTGCTATTCTATTTTCCTCCTGGCCACCACGCTCACCAGTGCCAGGCCCTCAGTGAGCAACTCCCAATTCTGACATTGCCTGGCATCCAACACATTATCATTCCCTTAATTAACAGTGACTGGAAACAAATAATTTAATTCTGGGGCAAATGAAAATGAATTAACAATGCCAAATCCATTTCCCAGCTTTCTAATTGTCTGTAACAAAGGGTAAGAGGGACGTGTGTTGCCTTGGTGTGAGAATCATTTGAGAAAATAAAAGACAGATGGACAATTAGCGAGACCCTGTTCCTCACCCCAACAAATACTGATGTACCCAGCAGGACAATCTTTCTTTGTGCATAATAAACATTTAAAGTCACAAAGATTATGTCAACCGGATATATTTTCTAAGAGGAAACACTCAAGACTTGGCTTGGTTAGAAAGAAAGAAAAGAAGAAAGGAAGGAAGGAAGGAAGGAAGGAAGGAAGGAAGGAAGGAAGGAAGAAAGCAGAAATCTGAGCATGGTAGCGCACACTTTTAATACCAGCCCTTGAGATGCTTGGGCAGGAGGGTCATGTACTGGAGGCCATTCATTATGAGTCTCACAGTGCAATCTCACCAAGGGGGGTGAGGGAGGGAGACAAGAACATTCCAAGAGTATATTTAGCTATTTAGAGGCAGTGAAACCATAGCCCAGGCAGGTCTCAGCCTAAAATCAAACCTCCCCCCAGTCCCATCTATATTCACAACGAAGATGACAGGAAGACATCCAAGTCTTGGATTTGGAATGTCCAGGTGACTTAATTATGATGTTGCAAGTTAAGAGGACTGAGTATAGTCATTCCAGGTATAAATCTGCAACATGCAGGGGTGGGCTTGGTGACCTAGGACTTCTCTTCATGTTCTAACCTTTGAAATCAATGAATCTGGTGGGCAGATGCTTGACACATTAGACTCTGCTACTGCCGGGTGTATCTCTTTCAACAGAACATTCTGGAACCTTAGAAGCAAATGAGCAAAGGTAGAGCTGGAGACTTCCTGAACCACTGTGAGCCAGACCTGAGCTAAAATGTTACTGATCACCTCACTTCTCAAAGCCCCTATGCTGACCAGTAGACTGCAATGCCGCTTTTGTCTACTGGAATCCAGTCAGTGGCCAGGAAGATCTGAGAAGCCTATTTTCATTTATTTATTCACTGAAGCACAGTCATCCCCTTTAGGGAAAGATTGTGAGAAATAGTCACAGTTAATTTTTTGCTGTTGTCGTGGCATATTTCCTCACAGGAACTTGGCTTCTCCCTTCTGAGAATTGTGGGTCTGCAGAGTGGACCTACTTGGAAGCCGATGGAGGAGCCATGGCTGTTCAATGATTTGAGTTAGAGTTCTGTTCACTCAGTATGGAACATATCTGCTTATACAGACTAAATAAGAATTTAACAGCCCTCTCTTTCACTTCTGGGAACCACAGGACTTACAGACATCAGTCTACAGGGTCAGGCCATTGTGATCACAGCTTGATCTACTGTCCTGTACAGTATCTATGGCTATCTTCCCTTAGGCAGTTAACATGTTGAGCAATTTGTCCTGTGCCTGCAGGCTCCAGCCCCTTGGAGTCTGCTCAGCATGTAATGACAATATTCTAAAATATATTGGCTGTAGTTGAGCGTACGTATGTAAGAGAAAGATATGCTGGGGTTCTTTGACTTTGTTTCACAGGACTGTGTTCTGCTCTGTAGGCTTCTATCAACAGCTGCTGGTGGTAACTTCTCAAACCAGGAAACTATCCTGCCTCCCTTATTTCATTAAAAAGGTAACTACAGTTCCTAACATCTTGAAAAGACTCTCAGTTGTCAATCGGAAGACACAAATTTATATTTCTACAAATGTTTCCTTATTAAAGTGGATTTTTTTATACTTATGGACCTAGACTAAGTGTGTGCTCCGGTCTCTTTTAAGAAAACAGCTATACCATTGATGCTCCTGCATTCCTGCACATGGGTAGTAGTAGTATGACTCTAGACAACTCTGCCCAAATCAGGAACTTATAGACAACACTTACTATGTTTCCCAAAGCAGGCTATCCCACCTAGTTAAACACACGCAGGCAGCCTAAACCAATAAAGCCACAGTGTTTGAGACAACCTCATCCTGGGGTTAAGAGCAGTCCCTACAATGTGAACCATTGTAGTAGGTATAGCTCGTTCTTACTTAAACCTTCAAAAGAGATGTGTGCTTCTGAATATATGTTTTGTTGTGCAAACAGAGCAAAATCAGTCCCCTAGAGGTAATTTGCCACACCACCCGCCATAGGAGTATGGGTGTTTTAGTACCTTCTTGGATTTAAATGTCTATAATTGCATGTCTATGAAATCAACACTGTGGCTTCTTAGACTGACACAAAAGAAATAGAAACGTGTTACAAGTTTCTTGCTGCTGAGATCTGATAGAGTGAAACTATACAATTACGAGGAAACACATTACTATAAAATATGAAGGAGAAAAACCTTACCCGAATCCAGAAAGCAAACGACAGAGAAGAAAGAAGCCATAGCCTTGGACAAATGAAGAAAGGAAGGCAAAGAATCCGTTGACAGACATGCAAATCAGGAGAGACTGCTTCCTTCCCACTTTGTCTGCCAGTCCTCCCCAGAAGAAGGCCCCCACCATCATCCCGAGGTACACTATGCTGCCTGCAACACACAGAAAACAAAAGAACAGGTCAGCGGTTGGGAACAAATAGCACATGTGACAGCAAGCAAGGCACAAAACACACTCCAGCATTTTGCAGAGGAAAAACAGCTCTAAAAACACATCATTAGGGATACAGTGATTGGTTGACAGGTTGGGAGTTAGTTCTGCCAGGTCTTTGACAGCTCTAACCCCTCAGAAGCACTATGGGAAACTATTTCCTTTGCCATCACGTGTAGAAGATAATCCAGTCACATTCCACCCCAGCCTTGTGAGGATGGGCATGCAGTGTGAAGGCATGAATATTTCACAGAGCAAACCTGGAATCTGATGCCAGATTTCCGCTTTTGGTCTAAAAGCCATGTGTCACCATGGCAAGGACAAGATGAGAAATCAAGTCAAGGGCCCCACAAGGTCAAAGTGGACCTCAAACTGTTTCAAAACTCTGCTTATACCAATGACCTGTGCTAAGGCCAGACCTTAACCCTTCTAGATGATTCTGTGCCTTCCTTCTTTCTAGTCTCACTTGAAGACTCTGGCCTTTTCTGTGGAGTTGAGGAAAGTGGACTGAGTGATTATAAGGATGAGACATAAGTGGTTATAGCTCTCTTGCTCTTCTCATTGGAGAAGATGCTCAGAGAGTTCAGTGGGACGAGGAATGGTTCTAGCACATCAAGAAATGTTAATGATGGCTTCCACTCCTAAGGAAAACAAATGAAAAACGAGGAGTTAGACTTTCCTCTTGCTATCACTGTGAGTGGACACTTGCTTTTTTTTCTTATGGTTTATTTATTTATTCATTTATTTATATATATTTTTTCTGTTCATTGGCATTCGGCCTGTAGGTATTTCTGAGTGAGCATTTGGGTACCCTGGAACTGGAGTTCCAGAGAGTTGTGAGCTGCCACGTTGAGTGCTGGGAATTGAACCCTGGGCCCTCTGGAAGAGCAGCCAGTGTTCTTAACCACTGAGCCATCACTCCAGCTCCTCAGTTGAATTTTCTAACTCACTCTCCTCTAAGAGAAATAAACCTCCGACAAACATTGTGCAAACCCTGGTGAGGATGCAGGTGTGGCAAAAGTTAGTTGTGAAGCCTTCCTGACACTATATGTCCAAGAGAAAAGACAGAATGAAGGTTTCTTATGTCTAGATGGGCACTAAAGAGGCTTACTTCAGTTTTTCAATCATATCATTTCTTTTCCCTTTCAACTCTCTCCCACCCCCTTAACCACCCCTCCCCCCAAGATACAATAGTACTTTCCTGGTTGGCCTAGGGTTCAGAACAATTGACTCCTTAAACACATCCCTCAAAATATCCTGATAGAGTATAATGAGCACATGGGGACCCAGCACCTTCCACGATGGCTACCTGTTTCAGCATCGTTCTGGTCGGGGCATTTATCCCCAGGAGGCCTGGAGTTGTTGTCAGGGTTCATGGTATGTTGAAAACACCAGGCCTTATGGCTCCAGACCCTCCCTTGAGATCCTTGGGACTTCCCTTGATCTGGGAACTTAAGGGGTAAAGCCTGGTGTTGTAGGACAATGCCTAATGCTATGAAAGAACTATTCTGATTCCCAGGATGCTCCTGATACCAGTTTGAATACCACCCATGTGATTTCTGCCAAACTCACCTTGGAAATACTTCCTTTGCTCAAATCAGATGGCATGAAGTAGGCGCTCTAGCTATTGAGTTTCGGGTTGATCTCAACCTTGTTCCACTTAAGGAAAGTTAATCTGAGTGCCACAGGCAAGTAGTTAATCTAACTCCTCCTTATCCCCTAGGTTCTAGTCACCCATGACTCCCCACTTCCTCCGACTCCCCTGATCATGAACACGAAGATATTTGGATACTGAACCTCTTGAGAGAACATAGTTTGCAATCTAGACTCAGTATTTTATCAAAAATTAAACCAGAGGGCAATATCCAGGCTAGACCTTCCATGGCCTCCTGGGGATAAATGCCCCATCCAGAATGATGCTGAAGCAGGTAGCCATTGTGGGAGGTTCTGGGTCCCGTGTGTTCATTATACGTTATCAGGATATTTTAAGGGGTGTGTTTAAGGAGTCAACTGTCTTGAGCCCAAAGCAGGAGAGGCTGCAAACCCCGGGGAGACTCCATTAGGAATGGAACATGTGAAGGGGGAAAAACTCACATGGTGAGTATTCAAGTTCCACAAGTGGCAGGTTTACTACAAAAGAGTGTGACACCAAGCTCTATGTTCCTGCTTTCACTCTGGTTAAAAATGCTTAAGCTATGAAGGTAGCATCTTTTGTGGATTATGTTTGTTTAACATTGGTAATTACACTACTCCACTGGGCAAGCTATGGAAAGGATTAAACCTACCAAATAGCTTATCTGAGAGAAGACCATAGAAATTTGAGTTTTCATTTGTTGATCGTGTAATCTAATTAAAGTCAAACATTTGAATGTTTACAAAGGCTTGGTGTGAGTAAAGTTGTAATCACCGAGAGGAAGGATGCATACTGTACTTCCGACTTGTGCCCAACTTGCCACTTATATTCACGGCATTGTGCAGGGAGTCTTTGAGAACCCAGAGCAGTTGTGCATTCTGGATGCCTTCTCTGCTTTCCATTCTTCGTGGTGCTCTGCTGGCCAGGGTTAGGCAGAACCTTCAGTCAGAGCCCCTCATTTTAGAAGTGAGAGGAACAGAGGCTGTGAGAAGGCAAACTTTGAAACTGCATTTTTCAGACCTTGTCTTTTCAAACTATGACCTTTGGGCCAAGGACTTTGATAGGGACACGGGCTCTTGGACTTTCTGGGATGGACTTGTTCACTTATACCTGGTCCCTAAATGATCTGTGTGCTCATGTGAGTCTGAACATCTTCTCAGGGTGGTATGCTTTCCACCTAAACATCCTTGGGGATACATTTCTTACTTGGAGTCTAAAATGTGTTTGTGTATGGGGTGGGGTGGGGGGCATAGGACACAGAATATTCCAACTCTGAAGACGGAGCAGTCAGAAATCCCTGAAGGAGCTGGAGATCACAAAAGGCAAGCAGGAGGCTTAGAAAGGGCTCCTATGCTGGGGATGGTTTCTCATTCCTTTTGTCCCAGCACTCTTGGAGTTGGAGGCCAGCTGGGTATACAGAACAAGTAGCAGGACAGACAGGGCTGCACAGAGAAACCCTGTCTTAGAACCCCTCCTCCCTCCACAAAAGAAAGGGTTCCTTCCCTGGGACCAGTCTTCCTAGGGCTGCAGGTAAGCCTCTACTCCAGTTCTGGGAGTATATAAAAAATCCTGGACTGTGACTCTTGATTTCTTTCATAAATTTATTTAACCCATGAAGCTATCCGGAGGTTGAACCTGGCCTGAGACACAGCTCATGGTACCCTTTGCACAGCTCTGGTAAAGGTCTTTTTTTTTTTGGCCAGACCAGTGTCTTAGTCTTCAGAGAAGAACCCCAAGGCTTCGAGCATGACTTTGTCATCAAGGCATTTTCTAATGTGGAGGCTGGTTCAAGTTGATTTAATCATACCCTTGTTTCCCCCGATAAATATCACATTTCCATTTTTGTCTCTGCTAAGCTTCTTTTGATTCCTTCTGACATTCCCTGAAGGTGGGTCACATCTTTTCTCTTAACATCATTTTAAACCACGTTTAAACAAAACAGAATAATTTAGGAAACCAGCTAAAGTTTTTGTGTTTTCCCTCATAGTAACTGCCATGTGGCTTCTAAAAATGGTTTTAAACATTTTGGTTATCCATGACTAAATTCATTGCACCATGAATTTAGAAATTTATTTTCAAGAAAAAGTTTTCTATGGTGACATGCTAAATTTCCCAGGGGGGAATCTCCATGAGGCAATAATGGTCCTGTTCACCTGTTACATGGGAAGAGGGTATTTCTTACATTAAAAATTCTAAGTTAGAGTGCAATGAATCCCTTTGAATAAGAACATTTCTGGTAATGTTTGGAAAGATTACTATAGTGCAGTCTGTTGTAGTCAAAGAATAAAGAAAATACCATTATTTCCTGATCATGATGAATATTTCTAGATATTACTCCTTTTACAAGTAGTGGATACACTTATTTCCCCAAAGGTAGAGTTTTCTCCCACAGATCCAGGGTGTACCTCCAGTAGTAGCTCACCGATGGAGACTCCCTCCTGGACCTAACCTATCCAGCTGGACTCCTCTTGTATCAGGTCACGCTTTGGGTCAAAAGAAACCAGGCTTGCACGAGTCACTGGGGCAGCCACCAATCACTTACTAATAGTTTCGTCTTATTAAAGGCAATCAGAAACTAGTTAAAGTCAACTCCACAGCTCACAGCTTCCCCACTCCAGTTCCCTTTAGGGAAGATTCTGCTTTGGATTTTTCAGCCCGTACTAGGAAAAGCCTTGGAGTGAAGTCAAAGCACTCAAGCCTAGTTTCAGTCTGTCTTTCATAACTGGCTGTAGGGTCTTAGGCCAGTCTCTCAGAGTCTTCCTGGGCCAAATGCCTGGTGTATGATTGGTTGACGCTGCAAAGATGCCTTAGCCTTGTGCTTTGGCCTTGGGGAGGAGGTCTCCCTTTCTGGTTTCTTTCACATCTTCCACATCAATCCACTGCCACGGAAGTGTCCATATCTGCTGCCGTGTGAACAGTCTCCAGACCTCCAGCATATTGTGTGAATTATTATTTCTTCCCTTAACCAAACACCACCATAGTCCATAAATGTCTGATCTCAATGGCCCCTCCCTAGCTGCCATAGTCTCTTCCACAATTCAGTGCTTAAAGGGGTACATGTTTCCTCCTTACCTACAATTTTCCATTTCTTACCACTTCTCTGGTAGAATTCTGGGCTTGAAGTAGAATTAACACAAAAGTGTCTATCAAGTTCAGCACTTTATTGAAAATGCTGGTAAGTACCAAGCACGGTGGTACATATGTATAATCCATCATCTCAACACTGGGTAGGTGGGGACAACAGGATCACATGTTCAAGGACAGCCTAGCTAGGTACAAGGTCTTGTCTCTAAAAAAAGATACTTAGAA